AAAAAAAAAAAAAAAAAAAAAAAAAAAAAAACAAAATAATAAACATAAAAAGGAGCTCTAAGAGGGCCCTGGGATCATTTCTCAGTACTGAAAAAAAATATTTTGTGACATTCATGTTAAGTGAGAAGAGGACAAAATGTAAAACATTGAGGAAAAAGGGAGTATAAAACTTTTATAGAACATAATGATGAATCTAAATTTATCAGTATACATGCACATGTACTTAAAAGGAACTGGAAGCAGCAACCTCAGTTTGTTAACAGAGGTAGTCTCGGAGTGACAGGATTGCTTTCATTTTCTTCTTTCATCTTATCTGTAATTTCTCAATTTTCTATGATAGTCTACTATTTGCTTTAACAATTAAAAAAATATTAGGCCACTTAAAAATATTGACAAATTTCAAAAATTAGAAAATGCGTTCTCATATCGCAGTGCCATAAAATTTGAACTACAAAGTCTTACCCAAAAATTTGTGTCCACTTTGACCTTTAAGTATATCCTTTTCAATAATTACTTGGATAGAAAAAAATTTCAAAGGAAAACTAGCAAACTATTTGCAAATGATAATAGGAGTTTTACACCTACAGTCTTCGAATATGCAGCCATGTACATAATGTTGTATGCATTTACTTGAAAATGTGATGGAATAAAAACAAATATTTAATGAAAAAAGGAAAAAGCCAAACAAAAGAAATAGAAACTATTAATGACGGATATGGATGAAATAGAAAATGGTATAGTAAAATGCATCAATGAAACCAAAACCTATACTTAAAAAAATATTTTTTAGCGGTAGTGGGGATTAAACCCAGTGCTTTTTCACTGAGCTACATCTCCAGACCGTTTTTAGTTTTTATATTGAGACAGGGTCTTGCTAAATTGCTGAATTGCCAGGCTGGAGTTGAACTCGAAATCCTCCTACATCAGCTTCCGGCTATGTTGGGATTACTAGGGTGCATCTCAAAGGCGATAGCTTTTGAAACACTAAGAAAAGAGACAAAACATTTACCATCAAGAGGAATAGAAAAATACAAGCATCATGAGATGGGGATGTAACTGGAAGTAATTTAAAAAATTTTAAGGAAAAGTTATACAAAGCAATACCATGAGCCTAAAAAAATCAAGGTGGAACAGATTGTTTCTGAAGAAAAATTTTAACAAGAATTCACACAAAATAGGTATCAAGTCAAAGTCAGTAAACAGAAAAAAAAAGAAAAGATAACCAAGTCCATTTGGTTTTACAAGTTTAATCTACAGTACTTAGAAATGGGCAAGAATTGTGTTATGCTAACTACTCCGGAACAGAGGAAAACTGGAAAGATCCTCTATCTATCCTGTGATACTAGCACAAATCTCACACTGAACTCAGACAGGGATTGCCCAAGGATGAGTCAGTGTCAACACAGGTTTCTGTTTAAGTGAGGAAACATTATTTCAAATAGGATAACATGTCTATGCATGATACTTGTGATTGTGTGTGTGTGTGTGTGTGTGTATTTCCACAAGGAACAAATTTATTTTTTGTTCATTAGTTGTTATAACTGTCCAAAGCCATGGCCAGCTGGCCTGGTAAAAATCACTGAGGGTTCAATCTGTGTGAGTATAAATCTTATGGTATTTGTGAGAAGGACCGCAAACCTAGCCAGAGAAATAAAAATACATCTGTGTCTAGGTAGAGGAGAAAGATATAGGAGAGGACAAGTTTCATTTAATTACTTTTTGAAGATGCAACTCTTTAAGTGATCACCTAGCCAGAACCTAAATACCTAGATTTTAAATATAGTAAAGGTAACTTGTTCATTTAACTTTGGAATTATAGAAAAAAATGAAAAGCTAGCAAGCCCTCTATGGGTAACATTTTGATGTGTTATTCCAGGCTCCTCTGCTAGTAACTGTACAGGTGTGTGTCCCTGTACTTTTCAAAAGTGTGAATAAAAAAGCATTTTATAGTCTGCTTCCCCCCACTACTAGTATGTCATGAACATCTTTTCATTTCATTGAATATTCATGTTAACTGTCATTCCATTGTACTGTCTGTCTCTGTCATCATTTGTGCAACTGAATTCTTTTTGCTGGAACTGTCGATTTGCCCATTTTTTTCAGAACAGATTTTTCATGCAAAAATCAAAGATATGAAATCATTTTTGTATATTTTCAAGGAAAACAAAATTAAGCCCAGAGCAATGGGAACCATCTGAAATAAAGTTCCTTAGAAATGAAGTTGGAAACAGGTATATAATTCTTTTAAAGACCTTTTTTAAAAGTTTTTTTTTGGCTTTTTTTCTGGTACTGGGAATTGAACTCATGACCTTGCACTTGCCATGCAGGCACTGTGCCGCTGAGCTAAATCCCCAGCCCCTTTAAAGACCTTTTTGGGAGAAAATATTTCTTCATACTATATGTGAAGACTCTTAAGGATGTGACAGAAACCCTAAGTGGAATGGTGAAATTTAAGGTAGATTGTCAACTTGATTGGCTTGGGATCCGTTTGGGGGATTAATAAAGCACACTCTGAGTGTGTCTTTGTGGGTTGTGAAGACATCACCTTGGATGCAGTATATGGTGCCTGGCCTCTCCCTCTGGCCCTGTTTCCTTGCTCTGCTTCTGGCTGCCATGAGCTAAATAGCTTTGTTTCACCGTGCCCTTCTGTCGTGATGCTTCTGCCTTGGTGCCAGCCAACTCTGGACTGAACCGCTTGAAACTGTGAGCCAGTTAAATCTCTTGTTCTTTAAGTTTTGGGGAAAGCCAATACAGGAAATGAATGTAGCAAAGAAGGAAATTTATTGGCCAGTGTATCCCACTGCCTTATTTATGCTGTGAAACAACCAACCATGAAAATTCAGCAGCATGTTAAAAGTTACTGATTTAGTCCATGCATGTGTGGTGCTCAGCTGGTTCTGGTGGGCTTGTTCACGCATCTTGGGGCTGGCTGGCTGTTGGCTGGGACACCTTGACAGTGTTTTAGGTTTCTCTTCCATCAAGCTAGGTGGGGCGTGTCCTCATTGTGGAGGAAACTGAGCAAGAGAATAAACACAGAAGGGCTCCTTCAGGCCTCTGCTTGCTTCACATTTGTTAGTACTTTGTTGACCAAAGCAAGTTACATGACTGAATCTAGAGTCAGATTACGAGGGCACTACCAAGGATGTAGATAAAGAAGGTGCAAAGAATTGAGGCCATTAGTGCGGTCAGTCTACCTGGCACTTGTACGCCGAATGGCATGGTGATAGAGGAAGCTGCAGTGTCTGTTAGATCCAGAGTATTACATGATGCCACCTAGCTGAATGTTATACTCTTCCATGTTTTTCTCTGCTCTCCTTTGCACTAACTTCACTCTCAGGGAGGACTCTGTCCTTGGTAGTACTCAGTGTTCCATTTTGAAAGCAAATGATTTCAGCTGAAAAAGACCTTATCTTCCCCAGTTGTTCCAGCTGCAGCCCTGATGTAGTGTCCTTTGGTCCAATGTGAGTTACACATCCATCCTGAAACTAGCCACCATATCTGGAGGGTGGAATCTGATGATTGTCCAGGCTTGTTCTCACTCCTGGTACCATCTAGGGTGGAGTGAGGGACTCAGCCTTGCCCAACCCTTATGAACTGTGAGTAGGGGGTTGGAAGCAATTTCTTTGATGAAAATAAAGATAGCATTACAAGAAATTATGTCTAGAAGAAGGAGAACAAATGAATGTTAGATGAATATGAGAGATACTTCTGTACATTGCTTTAAATTTTTTTTTATCCCATTAGACTCTGCTAACAAAAACTATTCATGATTACTCTGTGTTAGTCACCAAACACGTGTTTAATCAACATCATCTTGCTTATTCCTTAGAATACTATGGGTTAGGAGGTATTACCTGCATTTTGTTGATCGAAGAGTTGAAGCTTATTATAGCTTCAAATAATAATTTTTGGAAGGTCACTCAGTTAGCCCATTTTATAGGGGAGGTTTCAACCTTAGTTTGTCTCTCTCTAGAATCTGTTCTGTTATTGTAAAACTGAGGAAAAAGAAAGCACACTAAAAAAACTCCTTAAAAGGAAGAGCAGAAGGTCATAATGCACCCCATTGAGGTCATTTGGATCCTAATATTGGAAGGATAATTGTCATCCTGTAACCACAGATACATAAAATCTGTACCAATACAGTATACTCCAGTCACCATTACAAGGACCTTCTACTATTTTTCTTTAGGAGGTATAAGACCAAGAATTCCAACATGATGTACTGTTTCACAGTTCACTGGTGGTAAACCTAGAGGATTGTGTTGAGAAGAGTTTTTAATCTAGTGGAAAAGAGGACTGCAGTGGATACAAGAGGGGACAGTAACCACATGCTTGTCAATTATTTGACATTGTAGGAAGTAGCAACTTCTCAATTATTGTGAAGCCACTCGTGTATGGGGATCATGCCTCTAGGTATAGATTATTTTATTGCTAAGGTCTCCGTGCTGGAGAAATTCTGTGGCAAAGTTTTTGGAGGTTTCAATTCTAATTTAGCACAAGTCAAAACAGAGATCTTTTGTTTTCCTAGGGGAAAAAGAGTTTCATTTTTGCTTTGAAAAGTTGTGACCTTGTTTGTGAGCATTGTTGGTGGGGAGAATTTATTTGAAAAGTTCACATGTAGTGAGTAAATTTTTGGTGTTACTTTTCAAGTAACATTAACATGACGAATGTGACTATCAGTCTCTACCTATTGTTCATCTATCATTATCATCACTTTTGCATTTAAACATTTAAAAATAATGCAGCTGTAGTCAGAGTTCTAAAGAATTTGTTTTTAATTACCCTTTTTTTTTCATTTTACAGATCTCTGATTGGAGTCATTTTGTGGTACAGCCAAAGAGAATACAGGGAAAAATCATCCAACAGTGTAAATATTGGCTTCAACTCCAACTGAGTATAGTATTTCTTCTCTTTAGCAGTGCCTCATTATAGAGGAAACATGTATGGCAGTGCAAGAACAATCACCAATCTGGAAGGTAGTCCTTCCAGATCACCACGTTTGCCAAGATCTCCTCGTTTGGGCCACCGAAGAACGAGTAGTGGGGGAGGGGGAGGTGCAGGCAAGACTCTGTCTATGGAGAATATCCAGTCCCTTAATGCAGCCTATGCTACATCTGGACCCATGTACCTGAGTGATCATGAGGGTGTGGCTTCAACAACCTACCCGAAGGGCACCATGACTCTGGGCAGGGCCACCAATCGAGCTGTGTATGGAGGCCGTGTCACGGCCATGGGGAGTAGTCCCAATATTGCTTCGGCTGGACTTTCCCACACAGACGTCCTTTCATACACGGATCAGCACGGTCTGACTAGCTCATCCCACCACCATCACCACCAGGTCCCCTCCATGTTGAGGCAGGTAAGAGATAGCACAATGTTAGATCTTCAAGCCCAGCTCAAGGAACTCCAGAGAGAGAATGACCTCCTCCGGAAGGAGCTAGACATCAAGGACAGCAAGTTGGGTTCTTCCATGAATAGCATCAAGACTTTCTGGAGTCCTGAGCTTAAGAAGGAAAGAGTGTTGAGAAAAGAAGAGGCAGCTCGGATGTCAGTCCTCAAAGAGCAGATGAGGGTTTCTCATGAGGAAAATCAGGTATGTTATGATTCACCTCAGTATTTTTCAGTCCTGGCTTCTCATGGAGTAGCTGGTGCTTTGCAGATGGTTCCAGAACCTGCACAGAAGAAAGCTTGGCGTCGTGAAGCAGGTTATAGCTTAACATGTATTTGACTTGGATGCTGCAAGAGAATGTGGGAAATATGAGGCTAAAGCTTGTCTTTTCCTATTTTCCAATGATCTTTTCACATAGCTGCAGAAGTGGGAGAAGATCACGCCTGACGTTTTGTACATGGTTATTTTTGTTTTCTTTTTCAGCAGCTGGAACAGCAATGGAGATGCACCTCTCTCTGAATAGAAGAGGAAAATATTCTCCGCAAGAGTAAACACTTTAACAGTTACACTGAGAGGGCCACATTTGACTCGTTTATTGATTTTTTTGTTATTGTTGTTGAAGCACAAATAGCATTATTTCCTTCGAGAATAAGTGAAGTTTGTTCTCTAAGTAACAAACTAAGCACGATGAAATCAGATTGGTAGAATGGGCTTGACAGCATGTTAGAGCGACACAGTAAATTTTGACTTGGTGTTTCTACCTTTACTCAGTAGATTTTTTTTTTTTTTTTTTTTAAGACAGGGTCTCACTATGTAGCGCAGGCTGGTCTCAAACTCACGGCGATCCTTCTGCTTCAGCCTCCTGAATGCTGGGATTACAGGCGTGCACCATCACACCTGCCTACCTTTATCTATTCAGTATTAATTATCTGCTATGTGTAGGATACCTTCTTACTCTTTGACCCGTCTTCCATGTCGTAGCAAGAGTAGTCTCTCAGAGCCTACCTGTGATTGTGCGTTTCCCTCCTGTAAAGCGGTCAGTGAGTATTCATTGTCTCCAGGGTGAGGCCTACCTCCCTGACCCAGCCTGCAACGTCTTCTACTGGAAAAGCTGGCCTTAGTTTTCCAGGCTTATCTCATACCACCTCCTTCGTACCACCTCCTTCCCTGTCTGCGCTACCTGCACCACCACCGAGCGATTGCTGTGGACAGCTGAGGTTTCCCCCCTCAGCATTTGCTCTTGCTCTTCCCTTCTGCTATGGCTTCTTCAGCACCTCGGCCCGCTGCTTCCCTTCCAGTCCTAGCCAGGCTCCGTTTTCAGCTTCTATCTATCTTACGTGCTGCTATTTTCATACGAGGTTTGGAGTCAGATGCAGACTGCCTTTAAATCCCAGCTTCGTCTCTCACTGGTGGGGAGAGGAAGGCAGAGAGGTAGGAACTGAGGGTGCTGTGCTATTTGGCTTAAGAATTCTCAGATATCGTTTAACTTCCTGTGGAAATTTGAGATAACTTGCCTCACTGGTGATTCTGCGACAGTTGGTCTTGATGTCGGTCTCCTGAAGTGCCCTGCCTTTCTTGGTGTCGTCTGCTGACCTTCCTATCTGTTTCCTTGGCTACCACTTCTTTGGAGCCAAGTGCCCACGGAAGCGCTTGTGACCGGTGTAAATATCTGCCCTTTGTTCTCCTTCTGTGTGTAGAAAACAATCACCTTGTCCCTTTGATTATCTGACAGAGCCATTGCTGGTTCTTTGATGTGGAAATGTGATTTTTTAGTTGGAAAGAAATCTTTTCCACTCTTCAATCAAATTAGTGCTTTTCACTATCATTTCTGTTGTTTTCTGACTTTGCTGGTTCATTAACTCCTTGCAAACCTGTTATGGTAATGTGCATTTCCTCTCTTCCATATTAGTTTCTCCTACTTTAAATTTTTTTTTTGAAATTGGTTAAAGTAATTCAGGAATGGTGCAAGTAGTGGTAAAAACTCTGAAAGCTGTTCTGTAAAAAGTGACTTTTATCTCATGCGTCTATTACTATTTTTGGGCATGGATCCCCAGTTATGCATTGCTGTGATGTGACTGAAAAATCTGGTGAATGTTTACATTTTCAAAAAACATAGTGCAATAACAGACACATTGCCATGTATCCACCCTGCCACACTCCCCACCACACTGAACGCATTTATCCCATCATTCTTGTGACTTTCTCAAGCAGCTCTGGAAGTCCTTTGTCTTTGTCTTTTTGAGACAGGGTCTCACTATGCAGTTCAGGCTGGACTTGAGCTCACTTTGTAGCCCAGGCTGGTCTCGAACTTGCAACGATCCTCCTGCCTCAGCCTCCCGAGTGCTGGGATTACAGGCGAGCGCCACCATGCCCAGCTTGGAAATCCCTTTTCATGAGTGTTTTTAGTTGTACTGTCATGGCTGCCTTAAAGTCCAAAATCAATTCAAAGCATTTACCTTTCATGGTCATTTTGACTTTGGGGAAGAGCCAGAAGTTGCATAGTGCCACATCCAGTAGATAAGGTGGGTGAGGACTCTCCGTAATGTTTTTCATAAGCCTGCCTTTCTATTGGATAGTACTCTGCAGAAACATTCCCTATGTCTTTGACCACATCTCAGAAAGACACTTTGGTGTTCTGATGTCCCTTGTTGAATTGTATTACGGACTGCTTATTCCTTGGGGTGGCACAAACCCATAGTCCATAGCCCATGTCCTCAAGGTTATACTAGTAACTGATCTGGAGAGAGGTGTGATTAAAACATTAGGAATGAATGTCTGCTGCCACATCAGAAGCCTTCTTATTATTTCTGATGCCCTGTGGCAGCGGTGGCGAACCTATGGCACACATGCCGCAGCTGGCTGTTTGTTCTCATTGAAAGTTCTGAAAGCTTTGTCCTCACTGGTGTAGGACTTGGCTGGATGTGACTGAAAGGAAATAAAGTAACCTGGTTTTCTCTAAGGAATATGGGTTTGTCTTTTCCTTGCTGCTCTATTCTATTTACCAGTGTAATGGAGATTAGAGAGAGAAAATAGAGTAGACAGTGAATTTCAGGGAGCTCATAAGGAGCTGGGTGTTGTTATAGTTCCAGTTACTTGGGAGCCTGAGAAAGAAAGATTACTTAAACCCATGTGTTCCAGACTAGCCTAAGCAGCATAGCAAATCTCCATCTCACACCGACCACACAAACAGAAAGTTCTTAAGGATTTTATCTTACAGTTTGGTGCTTAGAAGTTACTAAGTTTTCATATTCCTGGATATTTTTGTACTGCTATTGACTGGGTATTTTTAATGGAGTTTTTTTTTTCCCAAATTAAGTATTCATAAGTCAGTTTTTTGAGATTTTCCTACTTGTGCACCGGTAGCCAAGGCTTTGCAGAAATATAAATAGCATCACACACTAGGAGACTGTACTAGATCTAATATTTACCCATCTTGTGCAGAAATGGGACAAGGTCATTGGGAAATGTAACCTAAGAAGTGTAAGTAAACCTGCCTGGGGAATGTTACAGCTTTTAAGCAATGGTTATGTGATAATTTCTATTTCTGGCTTAACACAATAGGAGGGAATCTTCTCTAAATCAATATTAATATAAGCTTTGATCCAGTTTCAACATATGCTTCACTAATCTTTACTTTGAGTCTGAAACTTGAAAAGGTTGAGAGGACTCACATTCCTGTGTTTATTAATTATTGCTCTTATTTGTATAACTGCAGGGCCATTTCAACACGGGTCATTTAACTCTCTTCTCAAATACTCATATTGTGAGGGTCCGGATTTGATGAGTTTCACCAACTGCAAGTGAGTGATCAGAGTTTATTTTATTGAAGGGCTGGTAGTGCTGCTCCACTGTAGAACACTTGCCTAGCATGTGTGAAGCCCTGGGCTTAATACCCAGCACCGCCAGGAAAAAATATACTTTTTTTTTTTTTTTTTTGGTTTTTCTCCGGTACCGGGAACCGAACTCACGACCTTGCGCTTGCCAGGCAGGCGCTTTTGCCACTGAGCTAAATCCCCAGCCCCCGAAAAAATATACTTTCTCCTGTTGAGAAGGTGGTGAGGCAATCGCATCAGTTAAACCCAATCGCAGTCACCTTGTGGAATTAAAGGCCCACTCTAGTGTTGGGTTTCATCGGATTTGTGGGTGAGAATTGGATGTTGTTATAGTTCAGATACGGTTTGCCCCCAAAGGTTCATGTGCTAGAAGCTTGTTCCCCAGGATAACTGCATTGAGTGGTGGTGAGACCTTGAAGAGATAATTAGTCATAAGCTCTGCCCTCATGAATGGATTAATGTCTCTCTCAAGAACTGGGTTCTCTTGAGACTGGATTAGGTGTTGTGCAAATGAGATGGATCTGGAGGAACTGGATTAATTACTGTGACAGCAGAGTGTTATAAAGCAAAGTCGCCTCTGGTAGTTTGGTCTTTCCTGGATGTGTGTCCACTTGTCACTGTATCATGCTCTTGTCATGTGCTACCATCTACAATGGAGCCCCCACCAGAAGCCAGCACCATGCTCTTGGGTCTTTAGAACTGTGAGCTAAATAAACCTATTTTCTCTGTAACATACCCAGCCTCCAGGATTTTGTTACAGCAGTAGGAAATGGGCTAACGTGGATGTGCTTAGTACTCAGATAAACCCGTCTTATCCCTGTACTTTCTTCTGAGAGTCTTTCTTTCTTCTACTACAAATTTGAGAGCAGTGGATTCCCTCAAAAGCAGTATTTTCAAAGTGTGTCCACAGAAACAAATACTTTCCAAAGGGGATTTTTGTGGCCACATAAACTTGAGACATGTATGGGAAGTGCCAGTTCTAAAAATTTATACTGCATTTGTTCTGGGTTAAGCCCTCCACCTCCCTAAAAACGATATGCTGGATTCCTAAGCCCTGGTATCTCAGAATGTAGACTCATTTGGAAATAGGGTCTTTACAGAGGTAATCAAGTGAAAATGAAGTCTTTAGCATGGGCCCTGGTTCCGTTTAACTGATATCTTTATAGAAAGGGGAAATCTGGTTATGATATAGACATGCAGAGGGGAGATGATGTGAGGACACACAGGACTGAGGAGGACTTGTAGCATAAGGAAAGACAGAGGCCTGTAATTGATCTCTCCTTCAGGCCTCATAGAAGGAAACCTCTACACCAATACTTCGTGGTCTTTGCTCTGGCATCCCTAACATGCTGAAACAACAGATCACCAAGT